AGGCAAAAGGGGGTCCAACCCGTTACTAGCGTGGTGTACCTAATAAAGTGGCCGGTGAGTGTAAGTGTTTAATTAACCTGATCAACTATTTAACAAATTACAATTTTTAGTCCATACTGACTTTAATTGTGATAAAAGTTCTCATATTAAACAGGTAATTATGAGATAGTCTCCTATGTTTGTTTATAACTCACATGTGATGGCACAAAACAAGTGTCAGGAAAAGCAGTAATCTAATCAAACACAGTATGTCCACATCTTCTCACACAGGAGAGGATGAATCACGCTTGGTTCATTACAATGATAATCCAGATGGCTGGCGTATCAGGCTATCTTTATCACTGGACTGGGGGGATAAAGACAAGTACAGTTGATGAAGCACAATGCAGAGCAGCTTAGCTGCTTGGCGTGAGGATAGAAAAAAAAGGATGACGTTTCCCTCTGCTGCTCGTCATTGATGCCACGCCTCGATCCATCTATCTTACATTGCATAAGACAGCTTAGAAAGATTCATTTTGATTCACTCTGTGTTGGGTCAAATTTTCCCAACATAAGACGATGTTGCTGAAAATGGATCAGCAAGCTTGGCACATGTTATAATTTTATATCGCGCTCATTTTTTCCCCCTATTCCCTTGCTGGTTTCATTGTATTAATTACCTTTTTTTGTCAGGTCACTTTTAGTAATCAGTGATGATCTACCTCTAAGCCCAAGACACGAGCAGGCCAAGCTCCTCCTGGAGCGAGCCAGGCTCAAGGCCCGCTCCAATCATTATAAGGGCGACCGCCCCCGACGCTCCCACTCTGATCAGAGATCCACAGTGTAAGTTGTTTTCTGTTGTTTATAAATCCATCAGACTGGTCACTGCGTTGTCAGTCAATCCTTTGCACTCAGCTTGTTTTGTAAACTTACATAATATGAGACTTTAATACCTGACTTAATTGCATGCACAAAGCTGACAATACTTTAAAAATGCTTGCTTTTATTCTGTTTATGTAATAATGTAAGCATCATGCAATTTTGCTCCTAGCGGGAAGCATGCACTTCAGTAAGGATTAAGAGTACTTGCAAAGGATTTTGTCATGACATGGTGTCAGTAATGGCTGAGGAAAGTATAGAGCAAAGTAAGTAAACAAACAACAACAACAAAAACAAGTTCAGCTGTTATTAATTAGTTGTAAGTATGTGGTTTGATTCTGGAAATTAGTTTATTTTCCTTTTCCTTTCATTTGACTTGACTTGAACGACTGAAATGATACATGGATTCACATAATATTCACTGTTTTAAAATGTCTCCAATAAACACATTTTTTATTTTGTGTAGGAAGAAGCAAGAAATTGAGCCTCCTACAGCAGTGCAGAAAGCAGATGAAGCCAAAGAAGATCCTCCGGCTCAAACAGTATCCGGTCCTCTTCTTGTACCCGCCCAAAGGGACACCTCTCCCACTGACCAAACAGGTCGACCCAGGAGATACGGCTGTTCGCCCACCCGCGTGCGCTTTGAGGACGAATCAGAGAAAGATGCAGAGTCTCGCTATTTGGACAGAGTGAGACAGCGTGGAAGACCGGGGACGCCGAAGTCCAAGGCAAAAGAAAGTAATACAGATTCCAGCAGCAGCGGCTCAGAGAGAAGCAGAGGTCACAGGGATTTCGCTACGCCACCGCCCCAAAAGCAAGAAGAGCTTGTAAAAAGCGCTGAAGCAACAACAGTCGTTAAAGAAATAATAGTGCTGGTGAAGAAATGTGAAGCCTGCGGCTCTGTAGTGAGGGAACCTCAACCAGTATCATCCCCGTCAGATCCACAGAACAACGAACCCCAGCAGTCTGCTAACCCCGAGGACACGCGGGGGAAAACGTCTCCTTGCAGGGCACCTTCAAACAAACCCGAGCCGAGCACTCGTCCTAAAGCACCACTCACTGTTACGTTTGCTGGAGCCTATGTGYTGGGGGAGGACAAAGAAAGCAGCTCTGGTTGGAAGCCGTCTGCTTTTGGGAAGCTCAGGAGGAGGAGCAGGAAAGGTGAAAGCCGGTTAGAGTCGGGCCATGGCCCTTACGGCCCCTCATGGGCTCAGCGACGCAACTCAAATCCACGAAACAGGGTTAACCTGAGCAGATCTGTTTCATTTGCCCCCGGTAGCCCCATTGCCTTGGAGCCACAGCTACTGGAGGCATCTGGCGGACTGAGAGAATCATCTACTCCACCTCTGCCCATAAAATCAGCTTTAAAGTCGAGCTCAAGGAACCGTTCTGCTACCGGTCAGTCCACAGTTCAATTCATGCCTTCAAACCAGGGAGGAGAAGGCGTATCCCAATCACTTCAGGACTCCTCAGAGCCAAGACGGGAGTCTCCGGTGTCTATAAGCCAAGGGGCAGCAACAAGCAGCCCAGTACCTTGTATCAGGCCGTCCTCTCTGAGATACTCCCCAGTCAGGGCCACCGCAGATCTGCCATCTGCTGAGCTGTGGGATGCCACTCCAGATGGAGCAGGTGAGCACAGCAGATCAACAGCACCACAGCAGACCCGTCTAAACCTGCAGGTCCTGCTGTTAATTTTATGCAGCAATACCATCTCTTACATAAGTGGATCAAGCAGATTACTTTCTCTCATCTTTTAGCAAATGTAAAAGTCCAGAGTGGAAGATTACGACTTTCTACATAAGTACTGAAATTAAAATCCAACTTAGGATTTTTTTTTATGTTATGACATATGGACACTCTTTTGGATGTTTATGAGGTGGATAAAAATGAAGAAAATTTACATTTTTAGTTAAATTATGTAATTCATCAAATGGTCTAAATGGAAATCTGGTCAAAACTTGTCTGGGCCTTTTCTGCATGTTGTCTCTGTGCCAGTTCCCCCACCCATCCTCAGTCTGAAAAACATACCACAAGGTTAATTTACAATTCTAAATTAGTTCTAGGTGTGACTGTTTTGATGTATATGTTTGTCTCTATGTTGTCCTGTGATGGACTGGCAACATCGTTGACATCTATCTTACCTCTCACCTAACCCCAATCTCAGGATCAAACTCGAATAGAAGATTGCTGAAAAGGACAGAACAGCATGGGTTGATTTTTGTCCATAGTTGTGTTGTTCACTTCTCTTTTGTATATGCAGGTCTAAGTGGAGAGACCGGTCCAGGATCAGAGTATCGGGGTCTTCGTGGCCTGGCCATGTCTAGGTCTGAGGACCTCAGAGCTGAACTGCTTAGAGCTGAACATTTGAAAGCAGAGGCTTTGTGGGAAGTAAACCCTGATGGTTCCAGGTAAACTATGATGTTCTTGTTAAATCCCTTCATAATCACTGTTCCTGTAAGGATTCTCTGTGTTGCTGGTATCAATTAGGAGATAAAAAAAAAACTTTAACCTACATTAGATTATTCAAAATTTAAAATACCAACACACTGCTGCCTTCTAGTGGTCATTAAAATAAATTGTAAAAAAAAAGGTCAGTAAACAAGAAGATAAACTCAAGATAAAGTTTCAGGTTTGATGTGACTGAATTCTTTACTTGAATTTTCTCACACAGAAAACTGGACGGCAGGCCGAAGCTCTTTCTGCGTCGCTTTTTTTCCTCTATCGGGCTGAACAGCGTTGGCAGGCTTGTGAAAGGTGGGCGCTCCAGCAGCATGGAGCAGCTCAGTCTGCCCGCCGTCCCGCGGGCGAGCTCAGCCTCACCCAGCCCCACGAGGAGACCACAGCCCACCATCCGCATACAGAGGACACCCTCACTGCAGACCCTCCATACTGTAAGCAAACAAACAATATGACTTCTCATTTTGTTTTTCCTATCAAATAGAAGGATCTTATGGACCAAATGGACTTTAAACACTGCCTTAGCTCCCTTTARAAAGTTACTTGAAAATACAAACTTTTTTTTCAGAAAACTTTAAGAAATTTCCTTCAGTTCATCCATTTTTATATTTTATGCAGTGCCAAATAAAGATTGATTGTATTTATAAGTGACATCATTATAACAGCTTAGTTTCATCCACTTTTAATGCAATTCTATTACAACTCCATTCATTTGCCACTAGGTGCTGCCACTGGCCCAGCTGCGTAAGGCCTCCTCTGTGCAGAGTTTAGAGAGAAGAACAGAGCGTTCAACCATACTTGGAGAGGTGCAGATACCTTACGGCCTGGCACCCAGGTAGAACACGATAAATAAGGAGAGGTGGTTGAATTAAATAGAAATAAAACAAGTGTATTTTCTTTTCTTGTCTGCTTCTTTAGTCCAGATAGCCCCCAGTTTGAGCTTCACAGGACTCTAAGTGTGGAAGATGTAGTCGTCTCCAGAATGGTGCGTCCAGTGGGCCGGGTCATCCAGACTTTCCCAGATGGAACCGTTCTCCTGGAGCTCATCAAACCTCCAAACGGTCCTTTTGGGTTTGTGATTTCCAGGGGCAAAGGTCGACCGGACACAGGTAGGTTTCTGGAACTTTAACAGAAATATCAAAGATCTAAACTGAGAAGTACACAACCCGATGTCATCTGTTTTGTTTTATTTTTTGTTTATTTTTTTTTTCTGTAGGTGTGTATGTTGAGAAAGTTGGTGATGGCAGTGTGGAGGGCCTCCTTGGCATTGGGGATGAAATTCTGCAGGTGAACGGGGAGCCTGTGGCTGGACTGAGTTTGGACCAGGTGACACGGCTCATGATCAGGGACAGCATGGCCACCTTGCGGATCCTGCCAGCGCGACGCAGTCAGCGCTGAATGACAGGACTGGCACGGAGCACGGCCACGTCTTCTGGAAACACAGACAGTAACMAAACAATGCACAGACGGCGCAGAATAACCAAAAAAATTGCAACTTGATGTGTTTTAAATAAAACCTGGAGAGATTTACAGAACTATAAAGGTGCAGCTTTATTAGAGAAAACAATCTCAATGCAGAGAATAAATATTTATTCTGATATAATGAATATTTAAGCTGGTACTTGAAGATTGGATAAACACAGGACTCTGCTTTCTCCTTTTTATTTGCTCTCTACATTATAGCCATGCTTTCTGAGGGTGAACAACTTTTTCTTAGATAAGTGATGATCATAGATGTCACATATTAGCTTAGCCTAAAAACTCTAAACTAATAAGCTATTTGTACAAAAAAATAGTTAATTCCTTTTACCTTTTCCTTTTTTGTATATGGAGCTGCTCGAGCTCAATTTATGCATTTTGAATAAGCTCAATGTTTGTGCATTGCTTCTATAAAAAAAACACTGTTTTGGCCAATTTTATGCTTGAATGTATATTGTATATTGATAAAATAGAAAAATAAAATCTAAATATTTATGTTGCATTTTTCAGATTTCTCTTCTGACTTCAAGAGCCTATAGGATAGCCTGTGTTTTTCAATTGTTGTGACAAAAAGCAGTAAGTGAGACAAACTCAGCCTGCATGTTTTGTATGTTGATTATTGGGCAAATGATATGGGTTAGAATTTATAATCAACACTATAATTTGATGTCAAGACAAAAGACAGAGTAATAAATAATATTCATGCCTGCACTTTGGAAAACTGTGACAGTTTACTTATTTATTTGTTTTTAAGAAGTAATTGTCTGAACAGCATGCGCCTGCTCTGCTCACGAAACTGGCTGTATGTGTGTGTGTGTGTGTGTGTGTGTGTGTGTGTGTGTGTGTGT